ATAATTGCTGTATGGCCTTTGTCGAAAGACGTTATAGAGAAACGTGACATGTTGCTGTTACTTACCACTTCCTGGTTTGCAGTTTGTGTTTGTCATACATTTGTACAAATTCGGGATGATCGAAAATATGCGAGGTCCAGGTAATTGAATAGAAGACGGGAAAGCGTTCTCCGCGACTGCTTGTCTATGTGTTCCATGTCCCTAATAAATAGTGCGAGCGGTTTTCAAGGCATCACTGCATATTTAGCTCACCTCTGTCGGGAGTGACTTTCAGCTTTGCCATCAGTTTGTTCACGCAACGCCAGATAAGCATCAGGAAGATCGATATGCCTATTAAAAGAAACCGAACGTGAGTGCCACGCTTCCTGCAGCAGGCGTGAAATTCGATTGTCTGACTGACCCAGTATTCGCACGCTTTCTCGGCACGAGCGCGAACTCGCCGTGCAACGGAAGGACAAACTTTCCTCGATAGCTGCCCACGCATCCTCGCCAGGGCACGAACTCGACTTCGAAAGCGGGAGAATACTGGGTCAGTAGTCTGACGACCCAATTTCTCGCCGGCTGCATGAGGCATTGCAGTCACGCGAGGATTTTATTAAAAGGCACATCGATCTTCCGGATGCGTTGCGCGCACAAATCAGTGGCAGAGCTGAAGGTCAATCCCCACAAAGGTGAGCTAAATAGGCAGTGAGCTGTAGAATGAGCTCGCGTGACAGTTCGAAACGCCGGACATGTCTTCCATTTTCACGGATTTGCAAACTAGAATTTTGAAAGCCCGAAGCACCGCCGTTATCTTGAATATTGATAATCCTCCGGGTGTAAAATATTACAATTCATGAATTTTCCCACTTATCAAGCCTGAACACAGGAGTGCAGAACCTTCTTCCCTTTAGGGGCCGGCCATCAAGTAACTCTTTTTTTAAAAAGGAATTGTTTTCGTGCATGTTCAGGTTCACCGGGCCTTTTTCCCGACGGGTAATTTGGCCGACATCCTCTATGAGAAATACGGGGACGGAATGTCCGATCCGCGTTGCTGGCGGGACATGTACAGAGACGTTCAGGGCATTCGCTGTGAAGCGGGCCATTACAAGAATGATAATGGTAGGTGCTCCTCCATTACAGTCCCGCTGCAATTCCGCCTTTTTCTATCTAACGTTTGTCTGTAGCCTCCACTACCACTAGCCAATCGACACCCGGACGCCGACTAACTGATCTTGACTACGCCGATGATATTGCGCTGTT